CATGCATAACTGAGATCCGGGTTCGGAATGGTGAAAATGTGCGATTTCAATGCATTTTCGGCCTTAAAGCGGCCGCCATTTGGCTATCGTTAATGGGATCATGAAACAAATGCACATACATATTTGTGACATGATGTACCTTGTGTGTGTGAAGTTTGAACTTGATCAATCCAGACATGTCTCGGATACGGATCCAGAACTGAATTCTTTAAAACAAAATGGCCGCCAGTCGGCCATTTCGAACTTGATCCGAAAAAAAAAATGACGTGCATCAAGGTCCTATTATGTTTAATGTATGTACCAAATTTGAACGAAATCCGTCCATGCATAACTGAGATCCGGGTCCGGAATGGTGAAAATGTGCGATTTTGATGCATTTTCGGCCTTAAAATGGCCGCTATTCCGCTATTCATGATCGTTAATCGAATCATGAAAAAAATGCATGTGCATATGTCCCATATAATGTGTGATATATGAGTGAAGTTTGAACATAATCGGTCCATGCATGTTCGAGATACAGGTGATCACGGACGGACGGGCGGACGGACGGACGTACGCACACAGGGCAAAACATAAGTCCCCGTTTTCGGACTCCGTCCGAATGGGGACTAAAAACTCTATCATTCTGTTCTAATAGCTGAAACATATTCCTGTGAGTTTTCATTTGTCGAATGAACTGTTTGTTAAATACAGAATACATATATTTTAGAATAATTTTCTTTTTAAAATGTGGATGAAATGTTTTGCTTTTAATGTATTTTTTATGTATTGTTTTTGATTTGATAACTTTTGACTAAACAGATTTTCTATTAGCTTCAGATCTTGATCAAAGTTTGGCACCCAGTTCATAGGAGTGCTTATATTGATTTTCTGACATCATGTTTTCTGTAAAGATTTTATTGGTAGGTTTGCAAATGTGTATCAGACTGTGCAATCTCTCCATGAGTTGGTTTTGAAACCCAGTATGGGATTCTGAGATACATTACCAAGGATATTATTACAAGATAAATCATTTGCTTCATTGAACACATACAACAATGCATATTTCCACTGAGATAAGTGACCTTTGATGTGTATCACCAGTGATCAGTCAAGTAGAAACAGTCAAAATATTTTATCAGATTTTCTCAATTTTTGCATGATATTTTCATACAGGACATCTGTTGTTCAAACTCAGGGAAGACTTTATACTGATGAATAAGGTGACCAAGTTTGATAAAGCTTGGAATAGAATTAGTAAAGTTATTATGCACACATAACAATTATTAACGACGACGACAACGACGGACAAAATTTTTCCCTTAATATACCTTTCCCTTTCATCTTTGATGGTACGGGCAAGGTAAAAATGTGTTTTATATGGACATATGTGAAACTAATTGTTAATTTACACAAAATTGTACACAAAGTTCACAAATGATTCAATGCAGATGATCTTACCTCTAGTTTTTGTTTTATTTTCTGCAATTCTGTTAAATTGCCATGTAATTCCACTGATACTTGGTCTCTCTTCCTCTCTGCATGCTGTGATTGCTTATTGTGGTGTTTCTGTAATCTTTCATAATTTCTTTTTAAATTGCTCATCTATCAATTAAATTATTCAAAAAGCAATTAACATATATTTGCATATATAATTCGCATATTATTTTGGACTACTAAACCTTTCTTAGTTTAGATATAATCCCTAAAGTTTGTGTCATATTTTTTTTTGTTTTAATAGGCATCTCATATTATCTTTACTAGGTTTCAATTCAGCTGACGTCAAAATTAAACCCAGGGAAAATAATCAATTCTTTTACAGTATTAATTTTACCTCATTCTTAAGTCTTGTTACTTGTTCTTCATACTGTGTGACCAGTTCTTTTTTGGATCTATCAGCCTCATTTCCTTGTTGTTGTAGCCTCCCCATCTGAAACATGGAGAAATTATAACCATGGTTATACAATGACATAGTGTAAAATACTTTATTTTTGCTTGAAATTAATTTTCGATATTTTTGCTGAAGGAATGATTCAGTGAAAATAAAATCCAGCGAATAAACCTTTTTACCTATATTTCACATTCAACTGGTGTGAAATCAGTGAAAATAAATTCCATACAAAACACGCAAAAAATCATTTCAGCAAAAACTAATTCCAGCTAAAATAAAGTATTTTACAGTACACTACAGCAAAGATTAATTAATGTCCAAAGTGCATCTCACTTTTTAAGTACATAAAAGCAGTGGGGTAATAATCAATCTATAAGTGAGATGCTCCATACACGTACGAGTACCACAACTCACATATGTACACAGCCTCATTTATCTCAGTAGCGATAGCTTGAGTTTTCATTTAAAATTCAAGTGTGATTACCTACAAACATAAACATCAACTAAAAACAGCACAGAGTTGATTCCCCCCTCCCCAACTGACAATAGATGAACTTTGACACTACATAAAAACAAAAGATTTTGCTATTCTTGCCTGTTGCTGTTTACTTTCCAGTGCTGCTCTCAGGGTAATAACTTCATTATCTCGGCTTTCAAGTTTTGACTGGAGGCCTTGCAAGTCTCTCTCCCACTCTAATTTTTTGTTATTCACCATGATATCAATCTGTCTCATCAGTTCCTGCAACTCATGTTCACATGATGACAGGGGCCCTTGAAACAATCTGCAGTGGAAAAAATATAAAACAAAATTATTGTTTTCCTATAAATCTGTTATCTGTTTTCTGCTTTGAATATACAGAATAGAAAACTTTATTATCATCCATTGCAAAGTAAAATTTTAAGTCGCACTCAAAACTGCCAAAACAGGATAATACTTGCAGTGAATTCAATCGTGAATTACAACTTATCAGTGGTAATGCTGACAAAACATCATTTTCTCTATCATTTTGTCTATTTTTGTCAATAATTACTCCTAAATATGCATGAATGATAAAGAAAATTGTTGAGCTGCTGCACATTACACTAATCATTTTGTACAAATCAATTCATGTACTCCAGCGTTATGAGGTGACATGAATGGCTTCACAAACAGAGCTAAATCTATGAGGCCCCTTCTTAGGCTGTGTCCTGGGCCGGGGGGGGGGGGGAGGCACACCATGTGCGTAAGTGTAAACAAATTCAAATTTCTTTGACATGGACTGTTAACTGATTTACATAAGTGCTTCTTATAGAGCCAACACAGTTGGATGTTTATGCATCTTACCCAGCTTCTTGAGCCTGTCTGTGAAAATCACTCATCATTGTCATCATGATTACTTTGTTCCAGAGGCAATAAAAAATGAATCTTGTAGAAGTAATCTCACATCTGCAAAAAGAAGTAAAAATAAAACCATATGTATATATAATTACAGTTACTGCTGCATATAGCCTTCATATATCAAATCAGCCAATCACAAAGACTCTGGCTTTAAACAAAATCATAAAAAAGTAGGAGTAATCTCATAATAAATTTATTAAGACCTGATAAACAAATCAGCCAAAAATATCTCATGCATTTAATTGGTTCATTGTGATATTGGTCAACAGTAAACTAATGTGCTAAAAAACTTTTGAGAAATTTGGCTAAATATTATGAAAGAATTTTGTTTTGAGGACAGTTCGCCATTGAACACAATTGTATGCACTGTTTAATTATTAAAAATAGGGTGCTGATAGGTGTTGCTCAGAGTGCATTCAAATTTAGATTACACAATATATTATATACACAAATTTGTATACGTTAAAGTAAACAAAAAAATTCCCAGTCAATCACGTCATTTTGAATAGAAAGAAATGCAAGGGAATATTAGACATTTTTCTAAGATGAAAACACCTTCCCTGCTGCACTGAGATGTTGAAAGGCAAAATATCCTGATCAAGATATATTTATTCTGCTTGAGATGTACTTGTATCCTGATTGGAATAGATATCCCATTCAATAAATGTTTCTGACTGAATGATGATTTAAATGAATCACTGCATAATATGAAGTATAATATAAACTAAAATCAGTTTTTTTTTTCTAAACCGGGGAACATGTGCCCCCTGATACTCATGGCTGGCGCCCTCTTATTGAATTGCCGATTGAACTTTCATGTCACAAATATATTTCTTGAACCGCACTGCTGTACAACATGAAATCTTTCTCAAATATATTTTTCTCTGTGAAAACATGCTAGCAAAACAAGCTGACAATGTGTCTGGACCCCAAATACACTAAAATTACTCTAAAAATATTCCAATGGTGATAGATACACCCCGTTAAAATGACACAGACACCTTCCGATATGGCGTTTCCAGGTCTATCGCCTGTGTGTGCTCCCTCTTGTTCATTTTTCCTAGAAAACCCCCTGCTAAAAGTGTCCAGGTATTCTTTTACACTTTAATCAATATTATTAAAATTGTTCTAGTATTCTTGGTGCAACAAAAGCATTCCAATGAATCGCTTTATAAATATACTGTAGAATACTTTATTTTCGCTTGGAATTTATTTTCGCTATTTTCGCTGAAGGGATGATTGCGTGAAAATAAAATCCAGCGAATATACTTTTTTCCCTATATTTCACACTAAACTCATCAAAGATCAGTGAAAATAAATTTCATACAAAACGCCCAAAAAGCCTTTTCAGCGAAGATTAATTCCAGCGAAAATAAAGTATTCCACAGTATATAAATTTCAATGGCAGTTGAATTAACGACCACAGAGCAGCAACGTCATTTGAAAATGCTCCAATGTTATTCAATCAGCCAATAGAAACCTATCCTTTCAGTTTGAATTGTGAAATTAATAAATATTTATTAAGATAAAGGGAATACCTTTGTTGTGCAGAGAGTGTCAAATTTAATTTTTAGCTCAGTCAAAGTTGTTTTAATTTGTTTATCTATAAATATGTGTTGTACATGTATTTCAATACCACGTTTCATAGAAATGTCTTTTATCACAAACGACGAGGATTCATGATCTGATCTGGTGAGCAAAATTTTACTGACTTGGGTGAATTTCGCTCATCATTTACCCATCCACCAGATAATAACAATATAGTTTATTGCATTTTTAGAAATAAAAGTTTCTATCAGTACTACATACACAAATAAGAAATGTAAGTACTTAAATATGAAATGCAAAACAAAAGTAGATTGGTTTAAATGTTTCGTTCGTTGAAAGCAGTGTGACTATAAGCGTGCAACACTGGCTAATGTGCTTCTGTCAATATTCTGCATCAGGTATTTAAATTTGTCAGTATTGTTCATAATTTGTGACATGTAAAGGGACAAGTTTATGACAAGAAAGACAAAAATCAATCTGTTAAACTTACCTGGTCGCGAATAGCTACAGTGCAAATACACTGACCGCTAACAGCGTACGTGTGAGAAACCCCGCCACACGAAATGTGTTCTACTGAACAGTTAACAAGGAACAGCTGATTCTGATTTCACGTGTGTACGATGCAGCAGAAAGAAAACAATTCAGTTGATAACAAAACTCTAACCCGGCTAGATAATTAAGAATTTCAGTAAACGAGCCAGCGACCTGAATGTTATACGCTAAATATGTACGACTCCTGCAAAAATGCAATTTGATCTAGCAACTAGAATGTTGCATTTTCTTCAGCAAGTTTCATCTTGTCGGAACTTGAAAAGTTCAAAAGTAAACAACATGGCGCTCAGAAATGAATTGTGGGTAATATGCGGAGTGACAAAATAAAAGTCGGGAAGAAAAACGACTCGAGTCTGATGGATGAATAGCCACAAGGAGACATGTCGAACATGATTATTTTTTAACAGAATATCTATTGATTAAAAGTGAATAAAACAATTTTGAGAAGGGTATGTATTACAAATCCCTGTAAAAGCATATTCTACACGTGATCGGTTTTCGTAGTGTAGTGGTTATCACGCTCGCCTCACACGCGAGAGGTCCCCGGTTCGAACCCGGGCGGAAACATCTTTTTTTTTTCCAAATTATTTTTTCTACTTCCACACTTATTGTATCTTTCTTCTTCTCTTGAATAAGATACCAGTTTCTCTTTGCTGCGTATACTCGTTTTGTGTTAAGGCGACGACGTTCAGTCGTGTAGGTGTTGCCAGGGAAGCCATTTAATTTCAGGTCAAGTGGTCACCAACTAACCATTGGTTTAGTCTTGTTGGTACACAAACGCTACTGTGAGAGTATGATGCCATATATATCGTGATAAATATGTAGTATACAATCTATTCATATGGTTTCAGTGGAAAAACGTTATTTCAGAAGAGTTAAAACGACTACGAATTTGGTGTACGTATCAATCAACACAACATCGCATTTCCTTTGACGTCAAGTCGTCACCCATGGATGACCACTTCAACAGTTCAATAATACGCTGCTCCGCTGAAGACGAATATTTTGACAGTGTTCTGAATCCCGTCATATCTTAAAGCTTCCAAGGCTTAATATATGTGGCAAGATGTCAACAAAACCAGTTCGTCGTGTCACTGATCAGTTGCAGCTTTTGGAGCGAATGGTAAATAAAACAACGTTAGCAACACAGAAGACAAGACATGGAAATATTATAGGTGAGTTTAATGATTGCACGTAGATCGGTGACGACAAAGACCATTTCCTGTAATTCAGATTCCACCTATTACTACTCCATGACAAAGGTAGAATTACATTTTAAGCAATTCGTACGTTTTTTTATATATATTTTGTTGGGATGTAAACGGTGAAGTGTGAAGGTTTATATTTGCATTCCAATGAATCAATATTCTGTTGTCCACCGTAGTCTGTCGCTCAACGCTGTGACCAGAAAGTGCCAACATGGAAGTTGAGAGGACGGTGATTCAGCCGAACTCAGCGACGTGTGTCGAGGCCATGAAAACAGTTAAATACGTAACTGACACTTGATTCGGTATTTCTGAAGTTCAATATAACTGTTCGCTTTGTGTCTCGTTTAATACATAGTTCTCCCCAAGGGTACACATTTTTCCACTGTACATAATGGATCGTTGTGGTATTTGTACGCTTCCGTCGATTAACACTAATCCCATATGCGATATACCCCCTCACTGGCTTCTCCGCAACACAATGATGGGTGTAGCTAAGTAACCAAGTTTTGAGGGAAGTATTCATCATGCAGGTATAGCTACCATTAATAGTCAGTATGGTCATATTAAAATATCCGAGGGCTACACAGTATCCCTTTGTTTTGTTAGGAATGAAAATAATGATAATGTGATAGTTTGAGGAGATTCGGCAATTTATTTTAGCTGAAAGAAATTAATAACAACTCAATAAATGTGCCAAATTAAGACCCAGTGAATATGAAAAATTGTCTAGAAAAAACATATTCTTTATTTCTGGTCATCACGCGTGTTAGTTAAAAAGTGTATGTTACAACTTTCCTTTATGTGTTTTTTTTTTTTTTTTTTTTGTCAGAGTTTTAGAAAGAATGAAAATAAAATTAAATGTTAATGCTAAATAAAAATAAAAGCATAATTTAAACAGTGAGTTTGGTAATTTAAAAGTAATTTCAAGATTATAGAGTGTTTCCTTAAAGATACAATATGGACGAAAATATGTAATTTTTAATATCATTGTTTGATACTGTATATTGATGTCAACAATGAACCATGATTAATCATGACATGAAAACACTGTTCTTGTCGCATACATCTAATTATTCAGTGGATGAAACAATAAAATTCTCTAATATTTACAATAACAATCACTACATTTGCATATCAATGGTTTCTATTTTTAATCTAAGCAATACTGGTTTGTATTCTGCCTACACAACATGTTTAGTTTTTAATAAATACTGGTTTGTATTGTGCCTACACAACATGTTTAGTTTTTAATAAATACTAGGCCGATTTGATATGATTTGTATGGATTACCAAACAACAATACTAACCTTTTCACCACTAGACTTTCTTGCTCAAATTTTTCTACACTTTTTCTTATATTCTTGAATATTTCGGGAAATGAACATTAATATTGGAACCAACAGCCAGAATTAGAGTCAATTTTTAGTTTTTCCTCAAAAAATTTTGCTATTTTTGTTCCAATCTTTTGAAGGAAATTGCAGACTATAAACAGAACTATTTTGTGAATTTGTGATGAAAAGTTGGAAGGTTAAAAAAAATACAAGTTTTTGTCCTTATTACATCTTTAACAAAACCAGGGAATTTGGTAGTGTATATATCTTAATAATATTAAGTGAATATTACACCTTCTACAATATCACAATTGTTTTTATCATTTGCTTAGATATTGGTAGTGATATTTTGGAGAACATTAACCTCCGAGCCCAGTACGACAAAGAGGAGGCTGTTAGATTAGCAGTCGAGGCTGCATTAGCACAGGCAGAACAAGAAAAGAAAGAAGCACTTGAAAAAGCCCGCCGAGAAGCTGAAGAAGAAAAACAAAGATGTTTAGCAAAACAACAAATCGTAAGAGTCAAATTTACCTAAATTATTTAGCATTTATAATTTAAGTTATTTAAATAAATTGAATTGTGTTGGTGGAGTGCATACTGGGAATGAAATTCTATGTTAACCACTATGGGGCAGTATTTGCAAACTACTAACTATGCTAATAGATAAACACTGACCACTAGGAGGCGGTATACACAGACTCTAATCTCTTCCCCTGTTTGCTTATGATAATTTCACAAGATTTATTTTCAGATTTTATTTTGTTTCCACACTTTCTTGTAATACAATTTTTTCGCATTAAAATTCTATATGTTCCTAAGTATCAATGTGTCATTTAATTGTCCTCATTTCGTTTCCATTAAATTACTAGGAATACGAAAAGATGGCAGAAGAGGTATCCAGGCAACGGGACAAACTGGAAGAGGAGAGGATAGAGAAACTGACAAGGAGGCTGAAGAAAGAAAAAGAAGAAGCACTGAGATTACAATGGCAGGAAGCGGAACGAATAAAAAAAATAGAAATAAAAGAAGCTCTGGAGAAGCAGGAGAAAAAATTGAGAAAACAATTTGTTGTGGAGAAAGAGAGAGCTGTAGCCTACGCATTGCATGTACAGAAGGTAACAAGTGCTTTCAAAACACCTTCCATATTATCCAGTCACTGCGAGATCTCACTGTATTGCATGATCTTGAACATAAAGACCGAACAAACAAAGGTTATAGCGTTACGGTGGTGTGCATTGTACTAGACAAACATGAAAGTAAATTTGAAAGCATGACAAATTCATGATATTTTGCTTAAAGATGTTATTGTTATATGCAAACTTGAATTGAATTGAATATATTACAGAATCATTAAATTTTTTGAATTCAAATTAAATTGTCCTTGTTTTCAAACTTTATACTAAACTGTACATTACCTATATAAATGAAAGCTTCAATGGTGCTTGACAATCCTGTATAACTTCCTTTTTATCTTGCAGCAAAAATTTCTTAAAAAGTTGGCAGAAGAGATTCAAAAAACTAAAGAAGAATGTGAACGACTGGCAGCGGAGGAAGCTGAGAGGGTTGCTAAGATACACCAAGCTGAAATAGACGTGTTAAACAACATGTAAGTCTCATGTAAATCTTATCTCGCGTAATCATGCTTTCTACATTAAAGATTAATTAATGGTTTGAGTAAACAACAATGAGTAATTGAAATAGAACTGAAACTTTTTATTTAATCATCTCACCAAGAAATGTTCTTGATCTACATAAGAAAGTATAAAAGAAAATTTCATTTTATTAGGATGAACTGTTGAACAAAATATCTGACATTTGGGCAGTATGATGGCAGAATGGTTAAGTGCTCATCATTGTTGAATAATGACATGCTTGTATCTAAGCGGAATTGAAGATTATATGTTATGTTCATCCTACTTTCATTATTATGGATTCATGCTATCAGGACAGCGATACTGAAAAAAAAACAATGCCAATTGGAGGTCATCGGTCAATTTTTCTAATACAAAATTCCAAAATGTCATGGGAAATGGTAATTGAAAATCGTATAAAATTATGAATATAATTGTTCATATATACAATGGCAGGTAATCTCCCATAATTCTCTGTGTAGGGCAAAATTTGAATTTGACTCAAACTGTCCCTATTTATTAATGAACAGTTCCCAGAATTTATTCATTTTATGATTAATTATACTCCCAGTCAATATAAGGATATACCGGTAAATGTCTTGGGAATAAGTTTGGGGTCACCAGTCTATTATTTGACCAAATGTTGGTTGTTTTTTCATTAATGGCTGCCATTTTGTCAGGATTGTAACGCATTTATTATTGGTTCCTATAGTGGAGATATTATGCCATATCTCAGTCTGTTGAACCATCATTAACAAATTTTGTGACTGATTATTTTTATAGAATTATTTTAAAACATTTAACTTTTGAGAAACAGTGAGAATAAATTATTCAGTGTTTTTTTAGTCCTAATCTAATTAAAGATATTCATTTTTTTTAATTTTTAGTATACTGGATTTGAAAAGACAGATCAGAGATGAAGTTGCTGCTAGGAACATGGTACAAGAAGACTTTAGGGTATGTAATAGAATGTGTGTAGAGGGGGATGGTGGGATTGTACAGGTGAAAGTCAAAAATAGTACACTTTCAGGAGACTTAAATGCACCATTGCAATCACACTCAACTAATAATTGCCAAGTCTTTTTTAAGTCAATGTTATGTAATTGTTAACAGTCCAATGTTCAATAAAAAACCCAAAAATCTGGTTTGGCGCCCTCTCTGTTAGTATAATATGTTGATTTTGTTTTTTGTTTTTTTTACTTACAAGGCACTTCAGCGAGACTATCGCAGATTCATTAATTATTCTGATGGGAAGTATCACTCTGATTACATGATGCGAATGAAGAAACATGGTATGAGATTTGACGTACACTGGGACCGGAAAGATAGCAGTCACAATGACATCGAAGTCGTACCGTTGGTGTTGCATAAATACCTGACTGAGGAGGGTAGAATTGTGTCTGAGCTTCCTCAATTATACGAGAAACCCAGGAAGTTTTTTGAAAATTAGTAATATGTACATGCAAAGTCATATTTATGAATCTGAACAGGGTTAAGAATTTTATATTGTGAATTATGCTCCCTGCTTTGTACATCCAGTGTTTATCCTACGCAATAAAGTACTGGGTACCTAGATTCCCAGGGACCATGAAGAGTGTGATAAAGAACTTAAACATTATTTACTTGCACCACTGCGTATATATATATATATATATATATTTATCTGCAATTATTCTTATACCTATATAAAAAATATTTCAATTCTATTCTTGAGTTGTGATTCGAAATAGCGCACTCATTGTTGTACACCACAGCCTCTTCATGGCAAGCTTTTAAGGCTAGTCTATAGCGTCGCTTCATAGAGTCTTGAAGCAGGAATAAGCTCTGACTTCAAGAATGAATGCACTTAACACTGTTTAAAAAAAAACATTCAGAGAATGCACAGTTATTAATAACAACTGGATATGTAATGAAACTGAGCACCGAGATAGCATTGAGTACATTTATTTTATAGAAAGAAACTTCACATATTTATATTTCTGGGTACCTCACACACACACTGTGCAATGAGAAGCTGAATCGGAGGGGCAGATTTTACTGATACAAGACATTTTTTTAACAAAAACTTTTTTAAACCTGAAACCTGCAGCGGATTCTACTTACATTCAGTGATACATCTTTCAGAAGCATTTCTGTGACATAAATCACAAAGGCCATTAAAAGCATCAATATTGTTTTGATCTGTCACCATCAACGGCAACCAAATTTTTTAATTCTAAAACACAAGTGACTACATTACCCAAACATAGTTCTTATTTGAATAACATTGCTTTCATCCATATAAGTCATTTTGATAACACCAAAGCACTCCGTTGCAAGATGACAAAAGTTATAGTAATAGTGCATTTTATGTATATTGGTAAAAGAAATACAAACTTACTTCATGGTAATTAATTAATAAATTTAAATATATTTTATGAATTTTGAATGTTTATACGAAAAAAAAAAACATTGATATTAATTGTAATAGTAAGCCTACTCATATGAATAAATATTCTTTTTTAAAAACAAAAAACAAAAAAACTTTGTGTTTTGTCATGTGATTGTGTAGTGTATTTGAATTTTCAACTTTCTGGCTACTGGACAAAGGATATTCCAATTCAGGATAAATATACATATCTCTATGTAGTTTTGACCTTGCCTTTACCATCAAATATGGAAGGGAAAGGTATATTAAGGGAAAAATTGTGTCCGGCATTGTCGTTGTTGTTGTT